AGAGAAGGAGCAGGTTGCAAGACACAGTTTCAGATGCCTTGGTGAGACCTTCAGCAACTTAACTCTTTCCCTTGCAATTGGATATTAGGGTGCTGGGGGGGGGGGGAAGAACACCTTTCCACTCATCCCTATAATTGCCCCCTTAAAACTAGAAAACACAGCTAAAAAGTGACTCAATGGGCAAGGGCACTTGCCACAGACTCAGTGCTTTGGAGACCCAAGTGATGGAAGAGAAGTGACCTTCCTTCCTATGCACCATCGCACCGACAAACAAACAAACAAGTGTAAAACTAGAAAAATAAGCAAATGGTATTCTAGAAACAAACAAACACAATCCTGAAAGAAAGAGAAAAACAGGACTTGGGGGTGCAGGAGATCAGTCATCTGAGTGAGCCAGGCTCTCTACCACACAGTGCAGCACCTTTAGTCTAAAACCCTGTTATGTAGATGATCTTGACCAGCAGAATATAAGACTGGATGAAACAGAAGTGCACCTCCTCCCAGCTGAGGGAGGAGTGTAACAGCAGGACCCTGCCTCCATGTGACAGGTGATTTACCTGTCAGCCACAACCCTCGAGGGCCAAAATTTGGTTACAGGGAAGCCAGAGAGTTGCCATCTAAAATGGCATGTGGTCCTCCCTCTTCAGGTAGCATCTAGGCTCACCTGGACATGGAGACAGGCAGGGTCTAATCACTACCACCAGTGGTCCTTTTACCTTCTTCAGGACTGGCAGAGGCAGCATCTGGGGACTCCATGTCATGAACACCTTGGTGGGGAGCAGTAGTGACAGGATGAGCAGAGGTCACAGGATGGGGGCAGTGGTGATGGTGGTTGGGGATGGGCATAGTACATGAGGTGTTGTCTCTGACATGCTCATAGCCTTCCTGACTCTCCTGAAGACTACAGGTGTCTCTGACATGCTCATAGCCTTCCTGACTCTCCTGAAGACTACAGGAGCTGGGCCTTCTGTTCCCACCAGGCATGATTGGGGAATCTTACCATACTAATCACTATTTCGGTACCTGACCATGGGGCTCCTCAGTTCCCACATGACCACCATCTTCACCTTTCAGCTACATGGTAGGGTCTAGTGGCCCTACCAATGTCGCTATTATAGGACCTGTTTTTAGCCATCAAACCCTGAAACACTTATCTGGTAGCTGATAAAAATTTTCTAGAAGAGGCTAGATAATGCTGATAATTCCAGCATATTTGGAACCAAAGTCCATACAAACAAGACCATCCCTGGTCTTCTTTATGCACCCTCATCCTTCAGGGCTTAGACAGAGGCGTCATGGTGCAGAATGAGTGGCCCAATCACACAGTTCAATAATGGGGATTGTAGGAAATCTGATTAGCTTTTTGAGTGAACTTCGAAAGAAGACATTTTCATTTCAAAGAGGTTAAAGTCAGTTTCTAGATAAATTCCTTCTCTTATCTTATTTTTTTATGTGTATAGGTGCTTTGCCTGCATTAATGTCTGTCCACCACATGTGTGCCTGGTGTTCACAGAGGACAGAGACCCCACTTCCCCCAGAACTGGACAATGTGACCCCCACTGTTCTTAGCTGTTGAGCTATCTCTCCAGCCCTAACTACATTCTTGATTTGATGTGCATAGCTACAAAGCAGCTGAATAAACTGCAACAGCCTCAGACTATGGAACATTAGTCACAATTTCTGAACATGTGTGTTCGATACATCTGCATTTTTACTGCAAAAATTTGGTATATGTTAAAAATGTAAATGGCAGAGTACATGTAAGTTAAGCTTTCTTCTGTTAAGAAAAAACCCGAGAGAGAGAGAAAGAGAGAGAGAGAGAGAGAGAGAGAGAGAGAGAGAGCGCACGTGTATGCACACACACTAGAATGAGCACAGAAGAAATTAAACTAAGGAGATATTTGTATTTGGGGAGGTAGGACCAGAGTAGGGAACAGAACATGCAGTGATGTTTCTGATGTGCTCACAGCCTTCCTCTGACTCTCCTGAAGGCTACAGGAGCTGGGCCACAGCCCAGTCACTGTCACTGTCGTGACTGGGGATCTTACCATCCTAATCACTACTGTGCTACCTGTGTTCTTACCCTAAGAGCCTCTAAAAAACAATTCCCAACTGAGGACAGCTGCAGACAGTCACTCCTGGGACTGAGTCTTCATAAACCCCTCAAGTCACTGCTCTTTCCCTTCAGGACTATTTATCATGCAAACTATAGAACACGTCATCTAACATCAAACATGGCCCTGCAAACACCATTCTGATCTTGTCTCTTATCTCTAGGACCAACAGGTAAGTCCTTTGTCTTTACCATAAACGCTCCACAGGTGAATACTATATATATGTAAAAAATGCTTTCCTTCAAGTCAGATACCCTCAATGTTTTGAGGGAAGGTGTGTGTGTATATACATATACACACATACATATATACACATACAGATACATACACACACACACATACCATTAAGGGCTGAGTGGGTAAAGTGCTTGCCACACAATCTTAAGGACTTGAGTTTGAATCTCCAGAACCCAAGAAAAAAAACCCAGTGTGTGGTATAAGAATCAGTAGTTGTGGGACTCTTGAGGGTATAGGGGACCCAGAAGAAAAATTTCTGGAAGCCTGAGGGCCCAGCCCCGAGGTTGTCCTTTGACGTGGAAAGGAGTACAAGTGTGCATGGACATCTGCAAAATTAAAAGTTGGTTGTTGGAGGAGGGTTTTGTTTTGTTTGTTTGTTTGTGTTTTTAAGACAAGGTCCCACTACATACCTTTGGCTGGTCTGGAACTCAGCGATATACTTGCCTCTGCCTCATGAGTACTGGGATTAAAAGGCATGTGCCATCATACTCCCCAAATTATAAGTTTTAAAACACACACAAACACACACACACACACACACACACACACAGAGTAGTAGAGCATTTGTTTATCAAGTGTGAGGCTATGGGTACATCCCATATAGCTTTTTAAATTTTGAAGGATAAGCCTGGGTAGGGCATGCCTGCAACTCCAGCTCTAGGAAGGAAAGACTGGTGGCTTGCTCAAGGGCAATCAAGGCAACACATACAAATTGTCTCAAAAACAAACCAGCATGGTCAAACCAAGATAAAGTACAGTTCTAATCCCACCAAAGGTTTCTCCTTCCCCTCAAGGATCAGTTTCCATCCCCACTGCTTTCCAGAATGTCATATTCAGTGCTGTACACAGCATGAATCCTCTGAATCTGGATTCTTCTGTTCAGAACGCCGCAGCTGGAGCTCATATAGGGCAGCACAAGTCTCATTTCAGTACTAAGTAAATTCCACTGAAGCTTATCCAGTAAGCTGTGGAAAGACACCCTTCTAGCCCATAACGAACACAAAACACTTCCCCCTGCCGGTTAGTTGAGATAATTTAAATTTCTCAGGAAATGGAAGAAGAGCAAGGAGGAACCGTTGCTCATGTTGGGCTACAGCGGCTCAGGGAGGCATCAGGGGTCTTAGCAGAAAGGGAAGGGGTGTCTGCCTAGGCCTGGGTCCTTGTCTGCCTTAGATGTAGCTCTATTTTCTCACCTCCATCCTGAGAATGCTCAAAGCTACAAGAACTAACTGAATAGAAATCCCCAGGAGGGCTGGCAGCTCGGTTTGAGAAGGAACACACGACCCGCGTAACTCACACTACGCGTGAGCCAGATACGAGGGTGCAGACCCCGCGGGCTTACCTGTGGGTCCCCTGAACCCCTGAGACATTACGCCGGCAAAGCCCGCACCTGGGGCGTAAGATGGCTGGTTCCCCAGAGTTCACTTTCGTTTCCTTGAAAGGCTTCCCCGCCCAACAGTTGGGGCAGGAGGAGGGGTTTGCTCCCAGTAGCCAGGCTGCGTCCCGCCCACCATAAGGGCTAGGCCACCGTAGTCCACACCCACGGCCCTCCTCACCACTCCACCTTCGCTAGCACGCACTACACAAGTTAGCTTAGAGCTTGGGTGCAATTTATTTCACCGACGAGCTCATTTTTGTTCACGGTGTTTTGTTCACGGTATTTTGGGAAACTTCACTCGGGCACTCAACAGCGCCCTCTCCGCCCTGTGAGGAAGTTCCTTTTCCGTGTTTAATCCCTAGTGCTTATGAGATTTACAAGTCTGTCCCTTCCTAGAGTGACCATTGGCCAATGAATGCCCTGTCCCCACTAGCCTGTCCTTCATCCACCCTGTTGGCTGCCCCAAACTTCATACCTTTTTGTAGATAAAATTCCATACCTCCTGACCATTTTCGAGATTTCGGAGGAATTCTACTTCCACATCCCTGGGTACCTGGTGTGTTTGTACCACAGTGTCAGCACCCAGCACATGGTGCAAGTAGGAGCCCCAGCATGTAGCAGCCCCAGCATATAGCAGTCTGAGCAAGACGGATGGCTCAAAAGTTACTCCCAATCACATCCCCCCTGTTGCCTCCAGTGCTCCCTGGGGCTCTCCAGTGGCCAGGGCTGTTCTAGCCTATATCCCCTGCACAGTGAGTCCCAGACAGTATAGGTGAATAGATAACAGTGCACTCAAAGTAAAAAAATGTGCAGAATGGAAACTTCACGGGTGGAAATAAAAAAAATAGCAATCAACACAGGAAAAGAGCTCAATCTGGTACTATCAGGGAACCCCAGTAAAGAAGGTCACAGTGAGTTAAAGTTTTCTTGTCCATTCACCAGTGAGGCACCATCAACTAGCACATAGGAGGACCAAGAAGGAGCAGCCCCCAGTTACTGCAGGAAGTCATTAGGAAAACACACCCCAAGGTTTAACCATTATATATGCATAGAGCAGGATAAGCCACAAAACACTGGAAACAAACAAAAGTAAACAAATGTACCCACCTTAGATTATTACACAGCAATTGAAATAAAAACTACAGCCACGCAGCAGATGGGAAATAATGTAACAAATCCAAAAGAAGACCTCATGTCCCAAACCACGCAAAACCAGGTTGAATCATGTACTGCACAAGATAGGTTCAAGTCCAAGGTGAAGGAATGTTCTGGGGGCTAATGATAGTTGACTTTCACCTGGGTATGAAATATGTTTGCTTAACTGTTATGCACTGGTGATTTATTCATGTTTACATATATGTGCATGCATGCATGCTATAATCCACAGGTTTAAAAGGCAATAAACAGAACCCACTCCCTGTAGTTTTTAGCCCCCTTCCCACATTCTCTGCTCCGTTCACATCATGTGCATGGTGCCTTACCTCTGCTTTCTTGCCTTCCTGCTAAATAATTAGGAAGAATCCAGAGGAACTTTCATGGTGATTCTGGTGCAGGCAACTGTCCTCCCAGTCCTCTGTGAATTCAGTCGTCTGTGAATCAAACACAGGAAGGGCTCTCAGTAGAGAGAACTTTCTTTCCGACTAGATCAGTTTATCCCTTGGAAGAACCACTGCTGTTGCCAGACCTCAGCCACTGAGGACCTGCAGACAGTCTCATTCATAAACTTTGTCTCACTCCCTTGATAACTGTCTCAAATCTCTCAGGCTCACTAGGTGGTATGAATATCTGCACTGTTCTGCTTATTATTGTTTATTACGGAAATGTTCAGAAAACACCAACAAGTACACATAATGAAAGCCAGCTTTCTGCTTCCACTGCAATCTGGGGTTGTTTACCCTTGCCAGGTTTTCCCCTCAGCTGGAGGGCCTTGGGAACAAATAGGTGGCATTCCTGTTACAAGCAGCTTACTTCCCTAGGAGCTTGGGGGCCTCCTGCCAGGTTCCAAGATAACCTCAATTCAGCCTGTGATGTATTTACCTCTGAGGGGTACTCATTAGTCACCATCTAAATAACTCAGTTATGTCTAAAATAAGGAATCACAACCTCCTGTTCGGCACTCACAGAAGCCTGGCTTTACTGTGGCCAGGCTCACAGTCCCCCCAGACTTGCTTTTACCTATCTGGGTTTATGATTATTTACTGGATTATTGTAGATTTGGTCTGACCTGACTTTGTGGAGAGATAGCAGTTCTTGATTCTGTAACTTCCAGTAGCTAGGTGTCAGAACACAGATGACTGTCTACCCACAGCTGGATCATTTGCCTTTACAGTACAGTAGTGCCTGCTCATCACCTTCAGTGTCAGTTCCCACAGGGACACTGAGAAAGAAATGGGCTGTCTGGGACCACATACTATGTTGACAACTAGTAATGTATTGTCAGAGAAAGTAGTGAATCACTGAGCTATTGAGTGCTAAGTAGTATTTTAATGACTGTAAACGATGTGTGTCTGTGCATGAGGGAGGTAAATGTACAGAGTCCAGGTGCTTTTGGAAGTCAGAGGTCTCGGACCCTAAGCTGGAGTTATAGGCAGTTGTGAACCACCTGATGTGGGTGCTTAGGAACTGAATCTAGGTCCTCTGAAAGAGCAACATGTACAATTAACAGTTGAGCATCTCTTCAGCCCCAAGGGCATTATTTTAAGAGGCTACATATATAAATGTACTCAAGTTCTTATCCTTCCCTTTTTATCAATGCTGGAGACTGAACCCAGGGGCCTTGCCTATGCTAAGGCGAATGCTCTACCGCTAAGCCATACATCCCACCCTATAACCTAGCTTCTAAGAAAAATAATCTGTGGTATCGCTAGGCACAAATTTATTAGCCTCTGTTCTTTTTCTCCTGTCCCAAGGTCTTATTGTATATATCCCTGCTGTCTAGGAACTTGCATCTACCCCAGGCTGGTCCTGAACTCCTGCCTCAGCCTTCTGAGTGTTGGGATATTGATGTGTACACCTATGTCCAGTCTCTTCAGTATTTATCATTGGTTTTTCTTTCTATCAAAACAGCTACTATCCCTAAAACAGTCATTAAAAAAAAAAAAGATTTATTTATTTATTTATTTATTTCATGTATATGAGTACACTGTTGCTGCCTTCAGAAACACCAGAAGAGGGCACCAGATCCCATTACAGATGTTGTGAGCCACCATGTGGTTGGTGAGAATTGAACTCAAGACGTCTGGAAGTCAGTGCTCTTAACCACTAAGCCATCTCTCTAGCCCTGAAACATTCATCTCTCTAAACTCACAGGGCCTTCCCTAGCAGTCTAACTTGCTCAGATAATTTGGGAGGCTTCCAGGAGACAGAAGAATGAGGTGTCAGGCAGTTATATTGACCCTGAGAGATATTCTATAGATGTCAGTAGCCAGAACCAGCTTTTGGTTTGGTTTTGTTTTTGAAACAGGGTCTCATACAAAGGGTCACCTTGAATTCCTCCATAAACAGCTGAGGTCAACTCTGAGCCCTTATCATCCTGCCTCTACCTTCCATGGGCTTCTAATTTTGAAATTACTAGGAAGTAAGAATTGTTTTGGGTACGCCCCTAAAACAGAAGTCTCCAGAAGAAGGGACATGCTTTTATTACTGAGTCAGAGTTCTCTAGTAAATGAAAGGAAAAGATGTGTGCGCCAGGTAAGTTTAGTGGTTACACAATACAGTTATAGTATTAACAACAATGCCAAAACAATCGTCAAAACGATGGCTAACAGTCTTGTGTAGAACACTCCACGAGCACATCAGCGCACATTTAGCTTCATGAGCAGCCCACAGAGTAATTCTATAAACCCTATGGCTCTATGTCTGGTGCTCAAGCTGCTTGTCCTACGCAAGCTTAGTCCTGTGAGTAGCACTTGATCAGCTGCTGGGGTGGCTCTGGCCAGTAGAGAGAGACTCAGCTATTGGCCCGCATCTGGTTCCACTGAGTTAGGGCTCAAGGTAAGGGATTCTGATCTATTGTTTTTTCTTCCTCTTCTCCCTCGGTCTCAGCCTGAGCTCTGCTTAGTCCTAACTCCTGCAAGATAATGGCCCAATCTTTAGCTTGTGGAATAAGTGTTGTACGGGGCCAGCAACAGCAGCTGGGCCCTGAGCACTACAGTGTTTCTTGGAAAGCAGGTGGATGTCGCTAACAGTCAATTTGCCAGATGGACAATTCATAAAATAGCCAATTTAGGAAACAACCAATACAGCCGGGCAGTGGTGGCACACGCCTTTAATCCCAGCACTTGGGAGGCAGAGACAGGCGGATTTCTGCGTGCGAGGCCAGCCTGGTCTACAGAGTGAGTTCCAGGACAGAGAACAAAAAACAAAAACAACCAATACATGGAATTTACTTTTTCTCCTTGTTTTGTTTTTTTGAGACAGCTTCTCTGTGTAGCCCTGGCTATCCTAGAACTCACTCTGAAGACCAAGCTAGCCTCAAACTCAAGAGATCTGCATGCCTCTGCCTGTTTCTCCCTGCCCTTAATTAAGTAGTTTTTATTCCATCTTCCAAATAGAATTTAAAGTAATGTGCGATGCTGTCTCTTACTGTCCTAGAGCAGAGACTGAGGAGGAAACTCTGGGGGTGAGGAGGGGCCAGCGCTTCCCTACTGTGGGCCTTTCAGAGCCACTGCCGGCTCACTACAGTCTTCCAGTCTTCCCTGCAGAGGGCGCTGCCATTTCTAACTCTTCTTTTCTTTATTTTCTTTGAAATAGGATTCCACTGTGTTGCTCAAGATCCTCTGGACTCAGCATCCTAAGTGCTGGGATTACAGGTGTGTGCCACCATACCAGGCCTTCTAACTCGTTTTAAAATGTCACTTTTCCACTATCGACAAGTTCACAGAAATCTCCATCTACACACGGAGGAGAAGATCCTCTGAAGTCAGAGGACAGTGATTGAGATGCTGACATTAAAGATTATAGTGACACAGCCCCAAGCCAAGCAATGCCAGTGGCCACTAGGAACAAGCAAGGCCAGGCACTTCCCCCTACAGAGGCAGCTTAGCCCAGCCCACATCAGTGCAGTGACACCCAGCAGCCTCCAGAGCGAGAGAGAAGCATCTGCAGTGCTGAGTCACCAGTCTGCAGTATTTGTTATGGCAGTTTGGGGCACACAGGCCTTGCTGGGAAAGCGCACACGCTCAGTTTTCCAATACATACTCCAAGCAACTGCCATGCCCTGTATAAAGTGTCATCAAGACCTATAATGCCAGCACTTAAGAGGATCTCTACACTGATAGAGCCAATTGTTTAAGGCCAGGCTGGGCTACATAGCAAGCTCTGTCAAAAAATAAAATAAAATAAAACTGAGAATATTTAATACTGGTTTGGGGACTCCATGAGTACTTTCACAATCTAATTTTGATTCTGGAACCTACCCCTGGCCTCCTCTAAAGTGTTCTCAAATCTGATTGGGTTACTGCTGTCTTTTGAAGGTTACCCATTAATCTTAGGATAAAGGTTCAGGCCCAAAACAATGTCTGCCACATTATATACTGTTGGCTTAGCCCACCTTCCATCTTATTTGCCTAAGAGCCAAATCATACTCTTTCAGGTTTGAAAAGCCCAGCCCCAGTTTTCTGGTAGTTCCTTTCCAACACCAGGGAGAGGGCATATAAAGTTTATAGTGCCCACAACCCTAGGGCACTTTTACACCTACTACTGGCTGTACTTACAACCATTTACATGGTCATTTCATTGATCAAGTCTGCTTGCTTGTGCACTGAGAGCTTTTACTTTCATGATACAGCACAGAGCCTTGCACATAGAAAGTATTCAGCAAACACTCATCCAGTGAATATTTATAGTGATCGAGTCAAGAGAAGCAGTAAGCATTGTGGCACACAACTCTAATCCTAGTAACTTGGAAGAGCTTTGGAAGGCTAACCTGGGCTAAATAGTGAGAGACCTTGTTACAAAAAAACAAAACAAACAAACAAAAAACAAAAACAAAATTAAAATAGCCGGGCATGACGACTCTGACCATTAAACCTAGCAAGCTGAGGCCAGCTTGGTCTCCACAGTGAGTTCTAGTCCAGCTAGAGCTACACAATGAGTTGATGTACAGAGACACGTGGGAGAGGGGGAGAGAAGAAGGGGAGGAGGAGGGGCTGGAGAGATGGCTCAGAAGTTAAGAGCACCTCTTGCTCTTGCAGAAGACCTGAGTTTACATCCCAGCTCTCTTCTAGCCTCCATGAGTGCCAGGTAGATTGAGGTGGTTTGAATATGCTTGGCCCAGAGAGTGGCACTATTAGGAGGTGTGGCCTTGTTGGAGGAAGTTTGTCAGTGTGGGCATGGGCTTTAAGAACCTTGTCCTAGTCCTAGCTGCCTAGAAGCCAGTCTTCTCCTATTTGCCTTCAGAACAAATGTAGAACTCTCAGCTCCTCCTGCACCATGCCTGTCTGGACACTGCTATGCTCCTGCCTTGATGATACTGGACTGAATCTCCGAACCTGTAAGCCAGCCAACAATTAAATGTTGTCCTTATAAAAGTTGCCTTGATCATGGTATCTCTGCACAGCAATGAAAACCCTAAGATACAGAAATACGT